GGCTATTCTAATGCTAATAATCTGAGAGGGTCCTCCTTAAGGCTTCAGCTCACATCTTCATGGATGTTCCTGATCATCTCTACAGTAAGGGACCCTTCTCAAACGAAAGATCAGATGAGCTAGCTCAGAGAGTTTTTGAGGTGCAGCTCCCAGACAGAGGTGGGGAAGGTTTGAGTTTGGATGGCGTGCCTTGGGAAGGGACTTTCAAGCAGGAAATGAGGGGGAAGGCAACACAGGTATGTCAATACGTGTGTCGTACACATGGCACAGTGCGGAGCGGATAGGAGAGAAGGAGAACTTGGAGCTATTTCTTCAGGTTGAAGGGTTAGGGACTTTTAGCTTAAAGGTGCCTTTCACTGTGCAGCTTCCACAGTCACTGTCACAGACTGATATAGGAAGGGAACATCAGTGGGATTTTATTGTTGTTGTCACGGTTTGTTGAGCTAGAATCTTTTCTTATATAGCTTAGGGTGGCCTGTAGCTCACTATGTTGTCCAAGTTTGGCTTTGAACTCACGAGCCTCCTGCCTCCATTGCTGGAATGCTAGGATTACGGATATGTGCCATCACACCTGGCTCTCTTTGACTCCCAATATTACAGGTTATGGACATGCAGTTCAGAGATTCTGAATGACAGTGTAGCCTGCTCCTTCTGATATGAATCATGGTGCTGAGGTACCCTGCCAGGGACCCCCATGCATGGGTTCACCAGGTAGAATACTCTAGTATTCTATACTTGTGAGGACGGAGCATCAGCTATGCCTCAGGCAGCTGCTGGGTGACATAGGGTGATCTGAGCTTGTGTGGAGTGGTTGAGGCGGCTTTGGGAGGAAAACTTGGCCAGACAGTGAGTGACAGCTGGGGGCAGGGGAATGTCCCTATCACCCCAGAGAAGACCTGCTAGCTGTGCCCTCCTTGGGGCTCAGGTACCCCTCCCCTTTCTGTTTCAGGCCCCTTGGTGCCCCACATCCCATCTGGCACTGGAGCTTTGCCTGTGGGCTCAACCTGCTGATACCTGGGGCTTGTAAAAACAAACATTTTCAAGCTTTAGATAAACGATTTGATTTTATACTTAATCGTATTGTAAACATTCAACTTCAAGGCCTCCAGGTAAGGCTTTTAGAAAACTTTCTACTTCTAGATCTGTCTCAAATAACCAGGAACAGCCCTCCCCCATACAGCCTCCTTGGCACACACAACTCTGGGCCTGTGTGAACAAAAGCAGCAGGGCCTGACCTACAACAGCTGCCAGGAGAAGGCACTGGATCAGAGGTAGCGTGTGGGGCACCACCACGGACCCAAGTCCATGGCCACATTGACAGACATACGAAAAAGAGCTTAATCTACAGCCCAATGTACAGCAAAGGCCAAGGCAGTTAGAGCATTTAGAGGGAAAAGAGGGAGAGAAAGAGAAAAGCAGAGGCTGAGTGTATAGCTCAGCTGGGAGAGAGCTTGCGGAGCTCAAAGGCACCAAGTTTCACCCACAGCACCCTAAAACCAGGAAAAATGACAAACACATGTCGTTCCAGCACTGGGGAGATGGAAGCAGGAGGATCAGAAGTTCATGGTCATTCTCCCCAACATCAAAAGTTCAAGGCCAGCTTGGACTCTGTGGGGCCCTGTCTCCAAAAACAAAACAAAAATAATAACAACCGAAGATCTGAACATACCTCTTGTACAAGTTCCCAAGTTTCCTGAGACCCTGTTGTGCATCCTTCAGAAAGTAAGCCAGCAAAAGCCCTGCTGGCCTCAACCTCTCCCAGACCCACCCTCTTATATCACGGACATGAGTGAGGTTCTCAGGGTCAGAGGTTAGCTGCTCAGTGACCTCCATGTCTAGCCCGAATGGTGACCATCAGTCTTGTGGCATCCAGGAACACCAGGACTTGAATTTGGTCTCATGTCCCAGAGGAAGAGTCCAAGGCATAAGCAGCTTAAGGTCATCTAATGTCAACATCACACCCCAGGGCTCATCTGAGGTCAGTTAGAGGCTCTCCCAAGGCCATACCTCAAGGCTTACCCAGGTTCAACATGTGTGTAGATGAGGCTTTAGGCCTCTGCCACAGCTGACCGGTGCTCTGTTCTTTTACCAGCCCTGCTTGATCCTCATCCATGCTATGGGTGACGCTGATCCTTTCCCAGCTGTTACCGCCATTTCCCCCTCCTGTGCCTTTCTTTTCTCACATATGTATTTACATTATGTAACCCAGACTGGCCTCAGACTGGTATCCTCACGCCTCAGTTCCCAAGAACTAGAGTTCCCAAGAGCTAGAATCATAGGCACGTATTACCCTCCCTAGGAGTTGTTTCTTTTCCCGAATATAAAATATCTTTTTTAATTATAGGAGAATCCTTGCGCAGACATCAACGCATGCATTAACCGCTTCTAGACCAGCAGTTCTCAATGCGTGGGTGGTGACCCATTTAGGGGTGGGGGAGTCAACGATCCTTTCACAGGGGTCACCTAAGGCCATCAGAAAACACGGACATTTGCATTACGATTCATAACGGTAGCAAAATTACAATCATGAAGTAGCAACAAAAATAATTTTATGGTGTGTGGGGGGTCACCACGACATGAGGAACTATGTTGAAGGGTTCGAAGCGACAGGGAGGTCGAGAACCACTGCTCTAGATTATTTCAGCCTGTCTCAGAAACGAACCATTTCTCCCCCATGTGTATGAGGTATGTTTGCATGTGTTCGTGTTTCTTTTCACATGTGGACATGTGTGCACGTGAACATGTATGCAAGTAGAGGCCTAAGGCTGATGTTGAGAAATGTCCCCTTATTGTTCTTCCTCTTGTTCACTGAGGGAGGGCTGCCCTTTTGTTCTCTGAGGGGAGGGGTCTTCCTTGGTGGGGAGAGCCTCTTGCTGAGCCTTCAGCTTGACAATTCTGGTTGTCTATTTAGCCATCTGCCCTGAGGCTGCTGTGTCTCTGACTCTCCAGGGCTGGGATTATAGGCAGCAGCTGTACATGACTGGCTCCTGTATGGGTTCAGGGGGTTCAGACTTTGGTCCTCTTGCTCTCATGGCAAATGATCTCTCTACTGAGCCCCCTCCCCGAGTCTAAGAATCCGAATATTTTTAAACTACTTTTTAAATTTTTAGATTTGTTTACTTTATGCGTGTGAGTGTTTTTAAGGCACGCATGCGTGACCGCCATATGTGTACCTGGCACCCGGAAGAGCCGGAAGAGGCTGTCAGATCCCTGGAACTGGAGTTTATAAATGGCTGTGAGCCTCCAATGCTGGGAACCAAACTGCAAGAGCCTCAAGAGCTCCTAACTACTGAGCCAATCACCCCAGCCTCCTCAAAGGATTATTGTTTTTCCTGTGAAAACACACAAAAAAAAGCAAGGGACTAGGAAACAAGTAAATATATGGGATTTAGAATAAAATCCTTAAATAAAGTTAATACCCAATCAAACAGGTAGAGTTGTCGGTACCTGGGTAGACAGTTCAGTCATTAAATGCTTGCCTTGCAAGCGCTGAGGACCTGAATTTGATCCCAGTGTACAAAGGAACCAGTGTACAAAAGCCAGCTGTGGTCGTGCCTACTTCCAATCTAAGCGCTAGGTGGGCAGATCCCAGGGACTTGCTATCCAGCCAGTCCAGCCTATTTGGTGAGTTCCAGGCTAGTGAGAGAACCCATGCCTAAACTAAGAAGGTACATGGCTGCTGCAAACAACACGTCAAGTTGTCCCTTGGCCTAAACACACATGCGCACACCTGCAGGGCTTGGCGTCACATTTGTATGATTTGTGATTGGTTGTAACCCCCAGTATTTGAACATATTTATAAATAGTCTGTGTTTGCTTGTTTGAAGTCCTGAGCATTGTGGTTTTGTTTTTCTGTCTCTTCCTTTCTCTTGACATGAGCAGTTCTCTTCCGACTGCATGGATGATTGACAGTGCATTGACTGACAGTGAGTTTATATTGCCTGGAAAAGGTAGCTCATTCAGATGTGAAAATTTAGGGAAGGCCTCATTTGTGCTTTTGTCTCAAAGACAATCCTGTCCCTTTTGTATCTCCCCAGATCACATGGCAAAGGAGCCAGTGGAGGACACAGACCCCAGCACTTTATCCTTTGCCATGGTAGGTGGCAGATTTTGACTCTTCCTGCCTTCTTATATCACACTGTAGCCACCAAGTATTTCCAGGACAGAACAGAAACCCCAAAGTAAGGCTTTCCGAATACACACTTCTTTCATATGGGATCCTCTGCGGCACCATCATATCCAGGCTGAAAAGCAGTGCTAGATTTTGCGCTGGGGATGTGGCTCAGAGAGGAGAGTGCCTGCCCAGGATGCACGAAGTCCTGGGTTTGATTCCTGGCACTGCATAAATTCAGTAAAGTGCTATGCACTTGCAAACCTAGCACTCTTTAGGTGGAGGCATTTGGATCAGGAGTTTAAAGTCATCTTCAGTCCTGTAGCAAGCTTAAAACCAGCCCAGGCTACACCAAACCATCTCCGAAACAGCAACAAAGTGGTGTTAGATCCTTTTCTTGCTTCATGCATACCAGAAGTGACCTTCTTAGATGTTCCTAGGTCTTTGTCTGGTGTCGACTTTTAATAATGTCTATTTTCAGTTAACCTCCTTTCAACATTCAGAATATCTACAATGGAGTCCTGTCCCAGGATTCAAACCCAGGACAGAGTCCTACAGTGGTGAACACACATATGTGACATTGTCACAGAAATGTAGAGAAGAAACATGCACTCCCAGAATGCACAAAGGCCAAATCTGAGCCTAACGCTGCAGGAAGTTGAGAGGAAGAACAGCACAGCAGAAGAAGGGAGAAAGTGTGGTTTAGCGGTCAGAGCCACGGAAGTTAAGAGGGGGATTATTCTGTTTCATGTTCTGACATTAACCTGTCGACTCTGATTTCACTCCTATCAGCTCAGAAGAAAGACAGTGAGTCAGGCCTGCTGATAAGCCCGAGGCTAAAGACCTAGAAGGTTTAATTTTGCTTTATGCTGCAATCGTGGATATGGAACCTGGGGCCTTGGGGTGCTGGGTGAGCACTTTGCCCATGAGCTAGCTTCACCCCAGCCTGCCTCCAAGGTTTTTAAACTGAAACTCAACACAAAGCTCTCTTTTCACTTTGATCTCAAAACTGACATTTAAAAATAACTCTCTGCTTTTGTCCGTTTCTGCAGTCAGACAAGTATCCTATTCAAGACACCGGCCTCCCTAAAGGTAAGAACAGTTAATGTAAGGACTTCAACTTGTGACTAATTGAGGATCTGAAACAAAGCGCTACTCAAAGCACAGTTTCCCTTTTTGAAGATGGTTAAAACGGAAAGGGACCGATAGGTTAGGTCAAGACCAACTACACAATTATTCTTAGAAATAAATTTTCTTATTAAAATGTGTCAATCATTTTATATCAGATTATAAATTTGGATTTCATATGCTGTTTTCACCAGGCATGACACAAAGCTAGGCCAGGTTCCGTGTTCAAGTAACAGAACGAATTCAAATTTGTTTAAGAAGGGGGGCGGGATGGGGAAGGGTTGGGTAAGGTAGCTCATGCCTGTAATCTCAACGTTTGAAGGGCTGAGACAGGAAGACTGCTAGGAATTTGGGGTCAGACTGGGCTATATAATAAGCTCTAGGCCAGACTGAGCTATAGAGTAAGACTATGTTTCAAAAAGTCAAAAGGAAAAATGGAGTGAGATAGGGAGAGGGGTGGGGAAAAAGAAGGAAGGAAAAGACTTGTTCGTTCAGGTGTCTCAAGGGGCTTCTGAATCCACACAATTAAGCGTGCTCTTGGCTCAGCCCCTGGCCTCGTGGCTCTGCTTTCCTCAGTGCTGGCCTTGTTCTTGGTAGGACTTCCTGCTGAGGAAGAAAAGAGGTCTCAGCAATGCCAGCATCTCACCATACTATTCAAGATGGTGGTGGACAGAGAGCCTCCCCAGAACCAGGATACAGGCAGTGTGGGTCACATGACCAACCCTGACTCAATGGCTGATTCAATGGGGAAGTAGGACAGTCAGTGGCTGGGCACATCTTTAATCCCAGCACTTGGGAGGCAGAGGCAGAGGCAGAGGCAGGTGGATCTCAGTGAGTTCGAGGCTAGACTGGATTGCAGAGTGGGTTCCAGGACAGCCATGGCCACACAGAGAAACCTCTTTAAAAAAATGGGGGATGTGAGTGAGTCCTGAGCTCCAGCTAGGGAAGGCTTGAAGCAGATTTCACTGAAACCCCAGCGACGTTCTGCAGCCAAACACCAATGGATTCCTGTCAGGCTCAAAAGTCACCCCCAAAGTTATCTTTTATAATCCGTGGCCTCAAATTCACACACGGTAGGCTCAGAAAGTGGTACGACCCTAGCCTTTCGTGGCCCCATGGGGTGTATACAAAGCTATCATGCTGCCCCTTTTCTCAGACCTTGTACCCTGTGGACAACCCAGAGTGGAGGGGACAGGGACAATCAGATCATCCAGAACCGTCAATGGATAAGTTCAGGTTTCACCAAACGCACTGCTCTCTCCCTACTGGCCCCAGACTCTCCTGTCCCTTGGAGTGACACCATTAATGTGCTGGTCCTCTTCTGTAATATGCACATTCCCAGGGTGACTGTAGGATCTGAGGAGAAGCCAAACCCTGGCTTGAGCACAAACCATGGCAGCTCTGGGAAGTTTCCAGCAAGTTCCTTCCCCCTGCACCCTTTCTACACAGGTAACCTGCCCCTCATCTAGAGCTTCCATTTTCTAGCTTATTTAATTCATCTTTAAAGTCCGCATACAAAGCGATGAGTTTCATCACGGCACTGCCTTACATACGTGTCATTGTACTTTATCCGAACCTGCCTCCCCCTCCCCCATTCCTTCTGGCTAATTCTCTTTCTTTCCCCAGATGTCCCCTTCCCAATTTCATGTCACACGAATTCCATTAACCATTTCTCCTTCACACACACACACACACACACACACACACACACACACTTTTGATTCATGTTCTAAAGCATGTCTAACAAGCATGAGCACCAGACAGGCATGGAGGGAAAGAAGGCCAAAACACCACAGAAATCAGTTTGGGGACTGTCTAAAGCTGCTAAGAAGAATGGCCAGGGGGTGGAGGACCAACACTTGGGTGCATGTTGTAAAGATCTTTTCTTCTTTGCCCTTGAATGTGATTTCCTGTTTTGAAAGGAAAAGATTGCTGCTTAGCAACCTTGTCCTACACTTGAAACATCGTCAGGCTTCTCCTAGAATCTGAGCTTTATACAAGTTTCATTCAAGTCCTCAGGCATTTAGAAGAAGCATGGCTTTGAAACCAGGTAACAGACCTTCCCTTTGTCCTGTGTCACAGGGAATATCTAAAGTGTGTAACTTTTAAAGCTCCAGATACATGTACCATTTTGTAGGTAAATGGATCTTGGTTAGGAGTTTTAAAATTTGAATTCAATAATAAGTCAATGTAATGCCTGCTAGTGTTTTCCTTTACCTTCCTGAATGAGGACAATGAGGACGACCATCAGTAGAGGTTTCTAATCATTTTCTCAGGGGATTTGTTTTTCTAAGAGAGGGCAGTGGAGAAGGACAGCCTGAGGGGGGAGATAAGAACAAAGCATAATGACGCTTATGTATAGAAATGTGCCACAGTGAAATCTGTTCCTTTATATGCTGACTAAGAGCAAATATATGGCTGGGAAGATGGCTCAGTCCACGGAGTGCCTGAGGACCAGAGTTCAGAGGTCACATAAAAGACAGGCATAGGGATTTGAGTCTGCAAATCCTATTTCTAGTGGATAGAGTGCAGAGGATCCCCAGAGGTAGGTGGCCAGCCAGCAATGGAGTTCAGTGAGAGACCCTGTCTCAAAAGCAATAAGGTGGAAAGAAGACAAAGAAGAAATCTCAGATTGACCTTGGGCTTCCACAAATAAATAAATAAACAAATAAATAGGAAAGAGTTATTTGGGGGATGCAAAATCCATATAAAATAATTTAAGAGACTAATTTGTGGACCTAAAAATAATCTAAGCTACAATCTAATTATATTAAGTATCAGCTAGGATTCTGGCATTCCAGTGAATTGGGGGTGTCTAGTTTACTTAATACAGGAGTCATAGGTAATTAGCTTTAACAAATTCTCTATGGTTGAAAAAGTCCTCAAGACTCATTTTCTTAAATAGGTTAGGCAATCTTCCTAGCATCTGCTCTCCTGTCACCAGAGTCCTACATTATTCGTGAGCAACTTAGAGATGTTCTTTAAAGCAGGCCAAGCTCAAGTGCTTTTTAATGATGTGGTTTTGCTGTAAGTCATGTGGAAATCTAGGGTAATTTCAGCGATCACCATATGATTTATCGCACCTGCTTTCTCATCAGGGACAAAGGCCTAGATAGCTTCCTCCACAGTCAGTCCCCATCTCTGGATTCATAGGTTTCTGGGGTGCCTTCTGTTGGGCCTCTTCCCCAGCAGTTCCACTGTGACCCCCCCCCCACACACACACACCTCACCCCCACAGGAGTTTGAGATGGGAATGGATTAGTCACTTTTCTTATTGCCAAGACCAAATCTCTGACAAAAACCGCTTAAGGAAGGCACAACACCACACTGGGGCAGCTGGTCTCCCTGCATCTGAGTCAGGAGGCAGAGAGAGAACAGTCCTGGCATTTAGACTGTTTTCTCCCTGTGTCCATTCAAGACCCCAGCCCATAGGGCGGTGCTGCCGACATTCAGGGATGTCCTTCCCTCCTCAGACCTTTCTAGACAAATTCTCAAACCCTCTTAAAGGGATGTTCCCATGGCCATTACGAGCCAATCAAGCTGATGATGAAGCTGTTCGGCCTCATTACAGGGACTTACTACATTTTCACTAGGAATCTTCTGACTGCTCACAGAAACTGCTAATTTGTGCATCCTGAAGGGAATGTATCTGCCTGTCACAGCTGCACACATGTTTGGGAAAAATAGTTCTGATCTTTGAGCAAGTATGCACAGAAGACAATTGCACACAGATAAGCCTTCATGTCGGTCAAGAAAAAATTTTATCTTTGTCTGACCTGGTGGTGCATTCAAGTTACTTGGAAGGCTGAGGCAGGAGGATGGAGAGTTCAGGGCCTGTCTAGGTTACAGAACGAGGTCAAGGCTGTCCTGGAAAACTTAGTAAGATAGTGTCACATTACACAGTAGAAAAGGAGCCTAGAGACAAGCTCGATGATAGAGGGTTTGCTAAGTGTGTGTGAGGACCTTACTTAGTTCTCCAACCCCATCCTGAACAAACAAACAAAAGTCTGATCATTTTCTTTGGAATGTCTCTCTCTTTCTGCTCAAGAAATGTCATAGTAAATTTAAAATGCAAGGGCTGATGGCTCAGTGGTTAAGAATGCTTGCTGCTCTTCCAAAGGACCTTAGTTCGGTTCCCAGCACCCACATCAGGTAGCTAACAACTGCTTGTAACTCCAGCTCCAAGGGATCTCTCTCTCTCTCTCTCTCTCTCTCTCTCTCTCTCTCTCACATACACACATACACATATACACACATGAATAAAAAAATTAAATAAAATCATTAAAATTTTTTTAAAATGCAAAGAAAAGTGATGTGGATTGATTCTATTAATGTTTTTTTGTTTGTTTGTTTTTTGTTTTTAATCTGAGCATACATGCATTCTGAGGAATACTTCCTTAGCCCAAGGAATTTGAACTTTGTTAAAGCTCCCACCATACGCACTCCATTTAATTTTTTTTTTTTTATTAATTATTGTGATGCTGGAGATCAAAGCTAGACCCTTGTACATGCTAGGCTAATACTCTGCTGCCAAGCCGCTTCCTCCCCGCCTCTGGAATGTTCATTTTACGACTTCAGCATCACCTGAACATCCCTGCTATGAGGAATGCTCAAATTAAACAAACCCTTGATGGTCCTTCCTCCAGGGACTAGTCATGGATCTCCTGGGGTCTGGTCTCCATCCAGTTGAGCGCTCTCGTTTGTAGCCTAGTGGGGCCATCCAGCTTCCCAATGGCAAGATTTGCTCTTTGTGTGTTGGAAGCAGCAACACTGAGCAAAGCGTGGGTGCGGTGTCTGGGAGAGCAGTGGTACCCAGTGCTCTGCCTCTTTTCCTTCTTGATCAGCACAGGGTCCTCAGTTTACCTTGCCTGCCCACTTCAATGCCCTTGAGAGGTCAAAGGAGCAATCGGCAGTGGTAAGGGAAACAAACAGCAATGAAAAGGCAGGCAACTCACTACCCTTGATGATATCACATCGACCAAAGTGCCCAGTGGGCTTCTCCCTGGGTGGAAAAGGCCTTCCCTACATCGGGCCTCATAAGAGTTGCACCTCATCTGTGCTGCTGCTGTACAGTTACAGATCATGCTTAGAACAGACCCCCACACACAGGTGTCTCATGTGGCTACCAGGCACATGAAGCACCAGAGGATCTCCTTGGCCAGTGGAGCCCAAGCAGCGGTCAGCCAGGGTCCTATGCTCTGACTCCTACGACAAGTGGGCATCCAGAGACTAACCTGCCAGCTCTCGACAAGTGGGCATCCAGAGACTAACCTGCCAGCTCTCTTCTCTAGCCACTCAACAATAGTTTCCATCCTGAGACAAGAGATGGCTGTATTGTACTGCATAGGCTAAGTTCAGATCTCCCCCAGGCAGCTGTCGACAGAACAGTGAGTTAGCCAAGAGTGGATAATTCATTCTCACCAAAAGTCCTTGGCCACTGTGTCGGTCAGGAAGTAGTTTTGATGGACTTCTCTGCACCCTGTCGATGATGGCAGGATACTACCCTAAGGTGATGGGGATGGCCAAACACGGCGCTTGGCTGGACAGATGAAATGGGATCAGTAAGGAATCACATACATCTGTAGCCTGGGGAATGAGGACATGTCACAGTGGACGGGGCCACGCCAGGCCAGGTTGCACCAAGGGACACGGGATATTCAGAGTACCGGCTGTGAGAGGCAGGTTCTGTGGAATCCGCAGGGTGGGGCTTCTCTGCTCCCCCTGAAAAACCCGATGCTTGTTTGAATAATTCTATGTGCTGGCAATGAATGGAGCCCCGCTTCTCCAAAACCAAAAGAATCATGCTCACCCCTCCCAAGAGGAGCATCGTGGAGATGGGGAGAGAAGAGTTGGGACTTGAACTCATCCTCGTTCAAATCCATCCCAATTTCAGCAGTGTCGGGGCAGCTCTTACTGCCGAGTTTTACTTTGGGGTCTTAGACCAGAGTGTGTGCTTCCTTTACCAAGCTGCATGTTGTTCTGTTTGCCCCACCAGCCAAGGAGTGTGACGCAGTCACTTCCAACTGTCCATCAAATTCCGATGATCAACATCAGGTAAGAATCAAGTTTTAAAAATCAATTTATTGGTTAAACTAACCGTAAACATCTAGAACTTTAATAGAAGTGATCTGAAAGGAAAAAACGAGGATGCTACAGGCATGTAGCAGTGTGTACCTGTAATCCTGCCTTCAGAGGGCAGAGATGCAAGGATCATGGCTCCAAGACCAGACTGTGTTATAGGAGGCCCTGGGGAGGCGGCTCTGTGAGTGGAGAGCTTGCCAGACAAGTGTGAGGACCTGGGTTCAGATCGCTGGAACCTGGGCTAACGCAGACGGGTGTGGTGGCCTGCCTGTAACCCCAGAGACAGGAAGCAGAAATGAGGGGTCCCAGACTAGTGCAATTGTAAAGGTGTGAGAGCAAGTGAGAGGCTTTGCTCTAGGGGAAGGAAGGTGGTGATGGTAGGGAGACATGGAATGTCAAGCTCTGGTCTTCACACGCTCTCAGTGAAGCCCCACAAAGGCGAATGCCCGAAGGCGAACAGTGGAACTGCAGTAGTGCTCGGCCATTTGGTTGTTTTTCTTGTTTTAGCCGTACAAACTAAGCTTTAAACTATTAAACCTTTTATCATTAAAAAAAGGGGGGGGGGGGCAGGGAGATGACTTGGTGAGTCAAGTGCTTGTTGTGCAAGCATGAAGACCTGAGTTCAGATCCCACCACTCACGGAAAGAGCCGAGCACACAGTACCAGTTCTGGGAGGCAGAAGGATGTGGATCAGGAACCCCCGGGAGAGAAGCCCTGTCTCAGAAAGTAAGGTGGGGAGTGCCTGATCCTATTGGGCTCGCATCTGCTCATTTTCTCAGTGCTCACTGGCAAACTTGCTTACAGTGAGTGTCCCAAGCTACAGTTAGAGCACTTGGTGTCTCAGAAAGCGTACCTTTCAGACAGGCTGATTCAGGCCTGTACCTTCACACAGCAGGCTGATTTCGAGCAAGTTTTGTTTGTTTTGAGGAAGAGAGGGAAAAGGCCCTGTCAGGCAAAGGACTAAAGGTTCAGTTAAGTTGGGCTGCAGGTGGGGCCACCGTGAAGCAGGAAAGTGGCTTCTCTTGGAAAAGGAAGTGGTAACGGGAACTGAGGACTTCAAGACTTCCTACGCTCTGAGGACAGAGGGTCTAACTGGAGGATTAGCTAACTCTGGCTTTTTTCCATTCCCCGGAAATAACTCCCCCGATCAGTTCTTCCAGTCGGAATCATTTACTTACCAGAGCAGTTTTAGGTTCTCCAGAGGATGGAGCTGGAAGCACAGAGATTTCCCATCTAACACCTTCCCCACACGCACAGCCTCCCGCCCTGCCAACATCTGTTACCACGGTGGCACAGCCATTACTGCCCGTGTACCCACCTTGACACCTCCCCAAACGCGGACCAGCATGCTCATTCTGTGTACGTTCTGTGGCTTTGGCCAAATAGCTAATGCCATGCTCCCGCCATGGCAGAACCACACAGGGCAGTTTCACTGAGCTCAAAACCCTTTGCGCTCAGCTGTTTACCCCTTCCTCACCCGTCCCCCCACCCCCCGGCAACCTCTGGTCTCTTCATCATTCTATAATTTGCTTTTTCCAGAACGTCACAGAGTTGAGATCACACCATGGGGCTTCTTGCACTTAGCAATATTCGTTTAAACGTCTGCCTCCCTTGAGGGTTGACATTTCATTGCTTTTTTTGTGCTGCGTAATATTCCACTATCTGGACATACCGCTGATTGATTATCTATTTACATACCAAAGGATACCATGGTTGTAAGAAGTGAATCATTTTGTTTCGTTTTCAGCATGGGGTATGTTTAGAGCTTGTCAAAGAACCACAGGTAAACAGGAGGCTCTAGGTCCTTATTTCCTCTAGCTGGCCACTGGTGCCAGCTTGTCTAGATGTCGGCAGGTTTACCTAGGCTGAAAAGTTACAGAGTCTGCTACATGGCTGACATTTCATTAGATAAAGCTTTGCATCCTGAACCAATAGAATAGAATATTGGGGTGGGGTGGGGGTGAGAGTGGGAGTGATGTGCTGAAGGAGCATGGGATAATGTTGTTCTCTGGAGTGCCAGACTATAGGACAGAGGAGGCAGGACTTTTTGAAGATCAGGGTATTTCTTAAAACTATCGCTCTGTTCTAAGTCAGTGGTGCTAGCCATTCTTCAGGTTGATGTCAAGCTCTACAGAAATGCAAAATAAAAACTACTTCACTGCCTTTAGTCTCTCGAATATTAAGCCATTTCTCTAGCCCTATTTTGCCTGTTTTTAATATTGGTTCTTTGTGCCCTTATTGCTGTGTTTTAAGGTTTGTTTGTTTGAAACATATTTTCGATAATTCATTATTCAAAATATCTTTTACAAATACTTTTCCTGTTTTTTTTTCCCCCTGGTTTTTCTCTATTTTTTTTTAAAGATTTATTTATTTTATTATGTATACAATGTTCTGCCTGCATGTACACCTGAACATGAGAGTCCATTACAGATAGTTGTGAGCTACCATGTGGTTGCTGGGAATTGAACTCAGGACTTCCAAAGAGCAAGCAGTGCTCTCAACCTCTGAGCCATCTCTCCAGCCCCATTCTCTGTTTTTTTGAGAGGGTCTTTTACAGACATTAAATAGACAGCATGTTTGATGAAGTCCAGTCTGTCAGCTCGCTCTTCTGTGGGCTGTGCTTTTAACGCTGCATGGAGAAAGCCATCAGCACACCTCCATCATGCAGATTTTCTTCTCAGAGTTTCATAGTTTCGTGTTCCACCATGTGGTCTGTAATCTGTTTCAAGTTTGTAGAAGACGTAAGGTCCACGTGTCACCTTGTTGATGTGAGTCAATTGAGTGTGTTTACATACGTGTATTTCTGGAGTCCATCTGTCTTTCCACTCTGTCTGTGAGTACCTTGTCAGGGCCACCACCATTTCTGGTTTTATAAAGTGCTGACCACAACTCTGAAGCCTGATTGTCTGTGACTAGACTCCTAGCAATAATACCACACTGTCTTGATAACTGTGGCTTCGTAGTGTGTTTTAAAGGCAGGCAATTACATCCACTGCTTTCCTCCAATTGACTATTCTGGATTGTAGGAAATCCACTTTCTGTATCAATTTGTCAATATTCAAAAATAGCTTGCTGGGACTTTTGAGTTGGATTGAGTTGACTCTGTAGGTCACCTTGGGGAGAACTGAGGGCCTGTATCAATCATTACTGTTCCTGATTTCCTACAAATAGCAGGTATACCATCTGGTGGTGGTGCACGCCTTTAATCCCAGCACTCAGGAGACAGAGGCAGGTAGATCTCTGAGTCTGAAGCCAGCCTGGTTACAGATCAAGGGAGTCCAGGACAGCCAGGGCTGTTACACAGGAAAACCTTATCTTGAAAAACCAAAAACCAAACCAACCAAACAAACAAACGAAACAAAACAAATAGCAGGCACCCTGTACTGAAGGAGCCTCTTACAGTCCTGGCTATATAGTTCAGTACATTTTGCAAACTCCACATGATGACCCAGGTTTAAAAGCCATATGGATTTGTTAAATCTTTACCAGCTTTTCTACTAATGACAAAAATGCAGCATAACAGAATAGAAAAATGGACTATCTATAAAATTATTTCCTTGATATCTATGTAGTAAATAATTTCTAATAAATAATTTAAATTTAAATTTAATTTAAATTTAATTTAAATTTCATTTTAATTGTACATTAGACTCATATATGTGTATGTGTGTACACACACATGTCTATATATATGATGGCATCACCTGTTGTAAATTTGACCCTGTGGTTGACCCAAACTCTTTAGAGGTGGCCCATCCTGCTTGTCTTTGCAATTCCCACACCGAGCCCAGCAGCCTGACATTCCTCAGTTGGTAGCAGCAAACCTTTTCTCTGGCTCCGAAGGGCACTGGGTTGAAAGAACAGTCTGCGTGGAACTCAGCTGGTAAATGTACGGTATATGAGCTTCCTTTCTTGTTGTGACCAAGAACCCAACAGAAACATCTTAAGAGAGGAAGACTTTGTTTTGGCTCTCAGTTTCAGGGATACACACTACCACGGTAGGGAAGGCGTGCTGGACTTCCTGTGGAGGGGGGGGTGTGTGGTGACAGCTTCTCATCATGGAAGATCAGAAAGCAAAGACTAACAGCAGAAGTGGGTGACAATGTACAAAGCCCTACCCACGATAACCTAAGTCCTCCAAACCTGGCCTCACATCCCAGAGGCTCCACGACCTCCCCAAACAGGGCCAGCTTCTGGGAACCAAGTGTGCAAACATGTGAGCCCGGAAGGGACCTTTTAGATTTGAACTGTTACACAGGGGTTTGCTCCTTTCTTTGCACTGGGTTGTGAGACACTGGGTAGAACCCTAACCAGCGGCCTCACTGCCTTGGCGGAGCCACGGAGCTCACTGGAAGATATGCAGATCTGAAGCCATTAAGGGCAAGGTAATAACAGGGCACAGCAGGGACCATCCAGGCTGCAGATGCTAGCTGCCATCCATCAGCCCGGCAGGCCTCTGCCTGCAATTCTGGACACGCAACAATCCTTTCAAGCTCCAACAAGATCTGTTTCATAGATTGGTGGGTCCTTGAGCTTTTTTTTTTCCTCTGGGAGAAGATCAGATAGCTCCGGTTTATTTGGTAATTTTTAACTTTACCTCTAGTGCGGAGTTTATAGGACAAGGAACCAGCGCTACCAGGCAAGACTGCAGATTTGCTTAGACTAGATACGTGGTATCTTTAACTCTAATAAGAGAGGTGTCCTGTCCACTGCCAGTCCAAATACACCATGTTTTCCCTTAAGCCAGGTCAAAAAAAGACCTCTTGAACCCAGTTGTCTGGGTATCTTGGAAGAGAGAAAGAATGTCACGAGTTTGGAAATCACCTGCTCAGCGCTACGCACCTGGTCTTGTCATCTCCCTGCCTCAGCTTCTCATGGTTGGAAGCATTTCATGTGAGACTGAAGATGATACCTTTGGATAGACACCTGATGTTGAAAATGCTTAAGCTGGATGGCAGGATGGCTCAGTAACTAACACATATGCTTCCACTCCGAGGACTTGAGTTCAGTCCCCCAGGACCCATGTGGTAGGAGGAGAGAACTCAGACATGTCCTCTGACATCCAGAGGATGTCATACTCTGGCATTTGCACACACATGGAAACACACAGACACACAGACACACAGACACACACACATACACACACACACACACACACACACACGTAGACATAATTTTTAAAACTTTAAAAATGTTAAATAAATAAATAAACATATTCAGACACGGTGTAATGGTTCACACCTGTAATCCTCACGTTTGGAAGATAAAGGCAGGAGAATCAGTCCAGGGTCAGTCCAGTCCAGTCAGCTGCATAGCTGCTAGTTCAAGGATGGCGGCTGGAGAAATGGCTCAGTGGTTAGGAACCCCAGTTGCTCTTCCAGAGGGCTTGATTCGATTCTCAGCACCCACATTGTGGTTCATAACCATCTGTAACTCCAATTACAGCTGATCCTGTGACTTCTGGTTTCTGTGGGCATGCGCATGTGGCCTACATTCACAGACACACATGCACATACATATAAATAAAAAAAAAAAATGTGTGTTAAAAAACCCAAACAACAAAAAGTGAGTAATAGAATTTCTCTTTCCATCTTTTGATAAGCAAATCAAACCAAAACCCATTTGATTCTATCTTCCTTAGAGAACATCAGCTTGCTTTCTCTAGATTGCCGCTGTGCATCCCTGACCCTGACCTTGCAATGGCTTTCCCCTCCTCTGTGCTCTGCCCACAAGATGGTCTGGTCCTGGATCATGGCCTCACTGGGAACAAACCCTGCAGCTAATACTCTGTGGTTTTCCTCTCTGCCTCTCTCTCTGCAGGTCCCGTTGCTTTTTGGCACTCTCCACACCTCCCTTGTTTGCCCTTCTGGACCTGCTCAGGGCTGTAGAAAGATGTTGTCATTCCCAGCCCCCACAGCCCTCCAGTGGCCTGATGCTGATCTAGGTTAATGTCCTGGTCAGGTATTTTGGTGATAATATCAGATACATTTATGGAATTTGCCTTGTCAGCTCTGAGGCTTACTGTCCCTCTTTTTGATGGTTGGGGATAATAGAATGCCAACTTTGGTTCCCACTGGCACCACAATAAACCCACATTCCCCAATGCCACTCATTGTTTCTGAGACAGGAGGACTTTTTTCTTTTCTTTTTCTTTTTTTTTTTTTTTTTTTTTTAAACTAGGAGGACTTTTTTCTATAATGAAACTCCCCAGAAATAAACATCTAAAAGAAAACTGTAGTATTCTGACAATATGGCCAGCAGCTTTGACTTATTACTATTTTTTGGACCAAGTCAAGATTAAATATTTGTGGTTAAGCCAGGCCTTGTTAGGGCCTGTAATCCTAGCTAATTGGGAGGCTGCTGCAGGAGGATCAAAGGTTAGAGGTTGGCTTGAGCTACCAAATGAGTTCAAAGCCAGCCTAGGTATCTAAGTGAGACCCTGTGTCTCAATAAAAAAAAAAAAAAAATGATGAAAATAGAACCGAGGGTATTTCTCAGTGGCAGAGCACTTACCTAGTATGTGTGAGGCTCTAGGTCCAGCCCTTTGTACTAAAAATATATGTGCATACATGTATACACACACACATGCACATACACATATTACAGGGGTTTTTGTTGCTGTGAAAAGACACCGTGACCACTGCAACTCTTATAAAGGAAAACATTTACTTGGAGCTGGCTTACAGTTCAGAGGTTTAGCCCTTTATCAGCATGGTGGGAAGCATGGCAGGATGCAGTCAGGCATGGTGCTGGAGAGGGAGCTGAGAGTTCTACATCTGGAGCCACAGGCAGCAGGAAGAGAGAGCGAGCCACTGGGCCTGGCTTGATTTCTAAAACCCCAAACCCACCCCTTAGTGGCACACTTCCTCCAACAAAACCACACCTACTCCCACAAAGCCCACACTTCCTAATAGCGCCCTTCCCTATGAACCTATGGGGCCCACGTATTCAAACCACCACACCATCCCTATATGTGTATGTTTACACATATACACACATATATGCATTGTAAATATACATATACACAAACAGGTATATATATGTGTATATATGGTGTACGTAGGTATATGTGTGTACACATACAGACAGGCATGCACATATAGATGTGTACCCATACATGGATATAAATTCTCGGAAAGGCATGAAGGAGTCACAGGTGTCTATAATTTAGTTGTTTTCCTGTGATAGTCTGAACGTTTTTCCTTAATAATGATATCGGACATTTTTCTAATTGACTGATGTCCAGGCTTCTTCTCATCGCTTCGGAGCTCTGTTGACTGTCACAATACATTTGGTTTCATGAGTGGGTTAGAATTTCCTGTGGGCTTCAGTTGGTGTAGGCGTCTAGTAAAACTACCCTCTTACACCGTGGACAGTGGAGACAGATGTAATTTTATAGAAAATGATCCAGCTGTATCTATTGCTGATTGAGTGAGCAATCTCATTTTAAAGGCAGGACCCCAGAGAAGGCAGAGTGCACGACACACATAGAGGCACTAGAAATTGAGGAGTTACAGTCGTCTCCGTGTCTGTTGTTTGGCACTGACTGAGTAAGCAATGGCACACTCGCACTGTGTAAGACCATAAAAAAGATGAGAGAAAGCTAGGCACGGGGCCTCCTGCCTGTAAGCCCAGCACTTAGCCAGAAAGTCAGGAGTTCAAGTCCAGCCCAAGCTACATAAGATAGGTAGGCAGACAGGCAGACTGACTGACTGACTGACTTTGACTGATGGACAACTGGCTTTAAAAGAAATTCCAGGTGTGCTCAGGAAGCGAGGGTGCCAACTGCCAAGTCTGAAGATCACAGTTCTGTCTCTAGGACCACAGGAGAGATGGCTCAGTAGTTAAGAGCACGTGCCATGCTTGCAGAGGTCAGAGGTTCAGTTCCTAGCACCTATGTCGAGCAGGTCACAACCACCTGTAACTCCAGCTCCAGGGATTGAATACCCCCTTGTGGCTTATTCAGATATCTGCACGTACTCACATGTAACACACACACACACACACACACACACACACAAAACGGACCTGGAGAGATGGCTCCGTAATTAAAGTGTGTGTTGCTCTTGCAGAGGACCCAAGTTCAATTTCCAGCAGCCATTTCGGGTGGCTCACAATTAGCCACAACTCAAGCTCTGGGGGATCTGATGCCTCTGGCCTCCAAGAGCGCTGCATTCTAGCACACACACATGTACACACACATACATGTAAATGAAAATAAAAATAAATCCAAAAATATTTTTAAAGGATAATTTTTTAAAAGATAAGAAACATTTTAAATAAAAAAAATAAAATACTTAAAATCCATGTTAAGGTGTGAGATGAAGTGCTCTTTCTCGGGCTCGCACGCTATCATGCAGCTCAGAAAGATCACAGAGCCATCGGTGTGTGATGTTACACACGCCCCTACATGGCCGACAAGCCTCTGTTTCCAATATCACCGGTATTACCAGACTGGTGTGTGTGAACGAAAGGGATCTAAGGAGATATTCCCGCCCTCTGTAATATCCATGTCCTGTGGTCTACCTGTGTTTGCACGTGCCAACTGTAATCACCTGTGAAGTGCTCTGTGATATTTATGAACAATAACCAACTCTACTCCATGTACAAAGGGAAAATCCATGGTCTTTCATCTCTGTACCTGCAGCGTGAGTTTGGAATTTCACTCAGCGTCTCGACTTCTCAGTTCCAGCAATAGCTAAGGTTTTGACCCACACTTCAACTCCAGCTGTGGCAGGCCTAACCCACTGAGGAGAAACAAAGAGCTAATCTGCAGATTTTTTCTCATCAGAGCAATTGCCATGACATTTCTTTCAAATTTCTGTTCTTCTGTACTTAGGTTTTCATTCACAGTGAAGAGGTTCCTACACCTAGCCTCGCTTGAATCCCTGCCTACCTTTGTGCTGTCTTTGTTCTATCTGGGCTTTTAACACTGACTCCTGAGATGTTGATGTTTAGATGTACAGCCAACATGATATTGAAAGGATACAAACTGAGAGCATTTTCTTTAAAATCAGGACCAAGATGTCCATTCTCTGCTTTTTTATTTAATATAGTGCTCAAAGTCTTGGCTATAGCAATTACACAAGAGAAGGGCAGAAAGGGAATAAAAACAGGAAACAAAAAAGTCAATTTATCCCTATTTACAGATAGCATGACATTACTTCAATGACGCCATGAAATCTACTAGATAAAGCTCTGATATCTAATAAACACAGTAAAGTTGCAAGATACAAAATAAATATAAAAAATAAGAGCAATAACTTTCATATATACCAACAATATACCACAGAGAAAGAAATTGGGAAATATATCTTATTCAAAGTAGCTTTTTTAAAAAGTACCTAGGAACACAACTAACTTTAAAAAAAAAAAAAGACCTCTACAATGAAAATTTGTAGACCCTCAAAAAGGAAATCAAAGAAGATATTAGATGATGGGAAAACCTTCTATTCTTACGGATTGGCAGAATTAATATTGTGAAAATGACTATACTACCAAAACTAACCTACAGATTTAATGCAAACCTATCAAATTTCTGATGTCACATTTCACAGATCTAGGAAGAAAATAACAAAAACAAAAAACCAAGAATTCACATGGAACCACAAAAGACTGTAGATACCTAAAGCAAAACCAAGGAGTAAACAAACAAAACAGTAGGAAGCATCACAATACTGACTTCAAATTATACTACAGAGCCAGAGTGACAAAGTCAGCCTGGGACTAGATGAAAACAGATAGACCAATAGAACAGAATAGAGGGCCAGAAATAAACCAATAAAGCCACGCCCACCTAATTCTTGACAAAGGAGGCAAAGTGGGGGAGAGGGAAATAGCCTGTTTAATGAATGGTGTTGACAAAACTGAACCTCCAGCAGCAGAAGAATAAAATTAGATTTATATTATTTAATTTTCAAATACATTTATTCAGTCCTTTTATGGAATGCACTGTCTTTGTCTTTCTAGCTGTCTGAATGCAGCTGGCTCCTTTCTTGGGTTCCCCTCCACCCTCTTTCATGCTTCATCGGGTAGCATTTCACTCTAAACCTTTCCCCTCTGCTGAGGACCTCTTCCTTGTATATGCTTCTTGCCTCCCAATATCTCCACTCCTAGTTAGTTAACCTTTTTACTTTTTTGTTTTATTTTGTTTTAAGACAGAATCTGTCTTACCTGGAATTCACTGTGTAACCCAGGCTAGCCTCAAACATCCGATTCTCCTTCCACTTCCTGAGTTCTGGGATTACAGACAGGTGTTACTTACACCTATTTTATGCTATGATTGGCGATCAAATCCTGGGCCTTGTGCATGCCAGGCAAGTACTCTACCAACCGAATTACATCCTCAGCACTGAGTTAAACCTACTTCGAACACAACCTAGAACTGGCTTCCGGACAGAGAATGAGGTTCCTTTTCTCTCAGGGGCAACTAGAGTACTTAAGAGTGAGGCCCATGTGTTAGGCTGGGGTGTGGAAAAGGCTTTCCACAGAGTGTTACAGTTTAGCTCTTTTAGCATGAGGTCACCAATGACAATGGAAGCTCTAGCGTTCCAAAGCCTATGGTGATACCAAAGTGTTACAGCTCTTGGTTAAGCAGTTATGCTAAGCACCACAGAGGTGCAGATGAAAGCTCAGGCCTGGTTGGCTTGCAGCCGTGACAACCCTCAGGCAGGACTCTCAGGCAGTCATGGTGGAAGGCTGCTGGTAATAGCCAGTCAGCAGCAGGCATGCACCCCCGGAGCATTTATTTGAAATCAGGGATTTATAAACCTTGGACAGTAGGAGGGATTCCTAGGGTAAATAAATGTGTTTGATTTGTTGGGGTCACGAGGTCAGGGACACTTGATTTTGGCATATAGTGGTACAGCACCTCATTTTCCATGCAGCAGCATGGTCCTATCACAGGAAGGAGAATACGGTACTTAGGTGAGGGGGGGGGGAATCTCCAAGTACAATTGAAGGTCTCTGCTGGACTAGATCCTTATAGGGTTGGGGCATTTCTAGGAATTCCCAGATGCTTGTTGGAGTGATTTTCTGATCAGGAAAGGGGCTGGCCTATAACCTGCCCTGAGGGTTATGTAATGCTCCTTACAAGACCTGGGTCACCCAGATCAAGGGAAACTTCTAGACCCCTGCTGAGAAAAGGGAGTCTGTCATCATAGGCAGAGTACAAATAAATGGCTATCTGGAGACGTCAGACTTCAGCCTTGTCCAGCAGAGCCCCACATAGGATGAGAGGGGAATAGCGAGATAACATGAATGTGTGAGGTTTGTAAACTTTTTTTTTTAACTTTTGAGATCTTTTTCATTTGAAGGTAATCTTAATGCTATTAAATTCACAAATGCTATTTTTATTACCCAATCCTAATCATCTAAAACACACATTGCAAACATACAAGTATCTATTCTCTCCGCATGTCAGTGCCCATTCATTATGGTTTTAGAAATGGGGAGAATAGCTTTCCCCTTAAGTTGCAAGTCAGTAGGTGTTTCTTTATAGTCAACTTCACCAAATTCATACAAAATAGTAATTAACAATTACTATTTTAATTACTTCTTTACTGGTTGACTCACAAGGAAACACCTTCAAAACTGCATTTTGTTAAAGTTTCTGTACTAAAATGTAGAAAAACTGAACTACACAAACATTGAAAAGTTGAGAATTCCTTAATTTTTTATTCCTGGTACCACTACCACAATTTACAGGACAATATACCTGATGTAATGAAAAGAAAAAGAATATGACAAAGTCTGTGTTCAAGCCTCAGCCCCTGCCTTCCCTGTGTTCCTGTTCCCTATCCCCTGTGTTCCTGCCACCACTCAGGTATTTCCCTGGCTAATTTTATACCATTCTGGGAGTGTTCTGCTTCCAGCCCTATTGTCTGTAAATGAGGTCCAGCACCTACTTGCTATCTTGCTCTTCACTTCTAATACTTAGTAACTCTGAGGAATTTCTGGCTTTTCAGTGTCCTTGTCAGCTGCCGTAGGCTCTGAGAAAATGCCTTATTCTGCAACTGTCTACTTTCCAGACCCTCACAGGACAAGTCTCAACCATCTTTGTGTCTGGGAAGTGGCCTCTGACTTAGCTTTATCTTATTTATAGTTTTTATGGTATTATTTGTGGCCTTGGTGTTTGCTTTGTGTTTTTCAAAGACAGCCTGGCCTTGAACTTCAGCGATTACCTCTCAAGTGCTAGGATTACAAGCATGCACCAATGCTTCTGGTTTTATGTGGTGCTGGGGACGGACCCCTGAGCTTCACACATGCTAGACAAGCACTCTGCCAACTAAACTATATTCCCTGCCCCCTACTCCCTTGCCTTGTTCCCCCTACCCCCAGCCTCCACAGACAAGATCTCCTATAGCCTAGGCTGGCTTTGAACTCCTGATCCTCTTACCTTCACCTCCCAAGTGCTGGGGTTGTAGAGGTATGCACCACCACACCCAATTTGTATTTGTATGTGTGTGTTGAGATAGGTTCTCACTGGAGTCCAGACTGATGTCTACAATCAGCAAATCTTCCTGTTTCAGCTTCCCAAGTTCGGGGACTTACAGCTGCCAACCATCGCACCCAGTTTGGGGTTTTAACTTTTTTGTGGTGCTGGGGATTGAGCCCAGGACCCACACATCCTAGGCAAGCACCCCCCTCACTGAGCTACATCCCCAACCCTCTCTGGTACTTTCAGTCCACTGGGGCTGCATGGGCATCTCCCGGGGTCCTCACAATGTTTGGCCTGGCCTTTTGTTTATGCCTGTGGTTCTTCTCCCCGAGTAACCTCAGGTCAGGGGTTCAAGTCCTTGGACCTGTGGACGTTCCTACATGCAGCTTCTGCACATTAACAGCTCAATAAAGCAATGTGGAGTAAAGGCAGGGGCGCTGTTTCAACAAGACCAAAGTAAAATACACCACAAAATAAGACTTTTCTGATTTTCCTGTTGGAAAAATTCACATTAAAGTGGCACAATTAGCAGGCCTGGCTTGATTTTTGTTTCAGTTTATTCTTGAGGCAGGGTCATGCCACATAGCCTGGACTGGCCTGGAACTCTAGGACAACAGGCATGGGCCACTGTACCTGGCCAACCTTGTCACTCTTCTGTCTTCAACCATTTCACAGTAATTCTGGATCCTGCTCACTGCCAACATCCTGAGGGTGACTCTGACCAACTGGTGTTGGTCTGATATTCTTTAGATGATGAGAAATCAAGTAAAATGAGCCAGGCAATATAGTTTTGACTTCTGGGAAACATTGTGTCTTAACAGGGTCCTCTATACCATGAAATCTATAAACTTTTGACCTCTCTCTCTCTTTCTCTCTCTCTTTCTCTGACTTGGAGTTTCTGTTCTGTCCTTGTGGCCCACACTTCCGATTCTTTGAGCAGAATTGACTGTGTTGATGTAAGAGTGAGCAGGCCTGCCCAGGCCTGTGGAAACTCTGCAAATAGGAAAGGGCAGGTCTCCACAGGGCCCTCGAGGTGGGGAGTGTATGTAGGCTTTTGGGGGATGTGGCTCCCCAGGCTCTACCTTGGGACTGTGTGAGGCTATGCAGAGATGTTTGGGCCCCTTCAGGGGCCTCCTGCAGTTCTCTCACACACACAAATTCACACACATGAACACGCATATGTACCTCGGTGCACAAACACTATTTTTCTCCTTACCCCGTCTCTCCTTTTTCATATCCTCCCCACCCCCATCACTAAGAGAAGAAAGCACTACAGAAATCCTGTGGCTCCCAAGCCGGCTGGCTTTGTTGCTGCCCTGGAGAGGCAGGGACAGGCAGGAAAGTAGAAAACCAAAGCAAGAGTTCTCTCCGTTCCTAGGGGAAGGCCTGGCTGGTAGAATAGGAGTGTTCCTGTGGTGGTTGGAAAGTCTTGGGATGTACACTACAGAGCTGGGGTTAGTGAGTGTGGGGCTAGTGAAAAAGGCTTCTTGGAGGATGAGGAGAAGAGTAGCCACTACTTAAAATGCACTAAATGCGGTGACACCAGAGAGTTAGCGCTTACTCTGGTTGCTCCTAGGACAGTGTGTCATTGTAAAGCGCACCTTGGCCTTGAACTTGGAATCCTCCTACATCTGCCTCCTGAGCGCTGGTACCACAGGTGCGCCACTGTGCCTAGACACCCAGTAATTAAAAGCCCCGCAGAGAATCCAACAGAACCTGCACGTGCATGGGAGGCCCGTGTAGCTGGTGTGTGCCTGGGGTGAGAAGGCCCTAACTGCAGATGCCACTCCATCCATCACTGGAGTGGACCCTGAGCATGCCCCACATTCCAGGCTGAGTCCCCTGAAGAACCATCTCTGAGCATCACTCAAGACTCTCACACCTCGTTGGTGGAAACTTAACTAATGAAAAAGGTTGATATTGCAATTTACTCGTGGCTGTGATTTTATGAAGGTTGTTTTTTTGGTTTTTTTTTTAGGGAGAAGAAAATGACTTTCCAGACAGCACTGGAGATTCCCTTTCAGGTAAAGGACTGAGCAGTTATCAGGCTTCAGCAACAGCCAGGCAGATACAGTAACACTATTAAGCGAATGTGTGTATCTTGAGTGTAGCTTCATAGCTATTTGACAGTCAGCAGTTAGCTTTCATCTGTGCTGATGAGTGTGTGAGTGTGTGTGTACACGCGAGTTGTGTATGTGTCTGAGTGTGTGTGCATTTTTGAGTGTGTGTGCGTGTGTGTATGTTTGTGTGTGAGTCTGTAGGGGATGTTGCTTATTCCTGTGACCCAAACACCTCTGAGGAGCCTGGTGTCAGCACACACGTTTGGAACCCTGCCTCTTTCATGGATATGTCCCAATCTCTTTGTGTGCTTGAGGGGTTCACTTATCTGATGTGTTTGGATGGTGAATTCTCAGTCACTTCCGTATAATCCCTTCTGAAAGGCCGAAGTTACACTAGAGAGGGCAAGAGATTGCGGGAGGGGAGAGTCTATGAGAACTGTTTACAGCCTGTGTGCAGAAGAGAGAGACTGTCCATCCCAACTTGGCACAACCAACTACACAGCAAAGTGTGTCTTCATCTAAGTCTTCCCCACCCACCTGAAAGATTAGTAGAGAGGCTTTTCTCTGACGTGGGCCCCCTTGTCTGTGAAAGGTTGATTGGAAGGTTTACTGTTTGTGCCACCATCAGGACCTGGCACACTCCTGTGCTCACAGCCACTGACCTGTAGTTGCTCCTTGGGACTGTGGTTTCCATCTCAGCTCTGCATCTGACGCCCCCAAAGGAGCTGTGACAAACCTCCATGCCCTGCTGGCACTCCACACTAAATTGAAGTAGGACCTTGGTGGTCCCCCAGATGTAAGGAGGATTTCCCCCAGGGGTTGGAGGAGCTTAGTGGGTTCCATCTCTAGGGAAATAGAGGAACAATTGTTTCTTAAGAGCCATTATCCCACACCCACGGCTGGCCACTGGGCTGTGCTGTGTGCTAGAAGTGGGCTTTAATGGGTGATGTGTCTTTAGTCCTTGAAGCTGCCTTTGAGATTGATGTCAATTACCTGTGTTCACAGAGGGAGGCAGGGCTTGCCTCTCTGCCCATCCAAACCACACACTTGTGCAGCAGATAATCTGCATGGCCACAGGAGGCCATCTCCATAACAAGACTTTATCTTTCTTTTCCTTTCTGCGCCTCATGTGGTCCAAGCCTGCCTTGAACTAGCTCTGTAGCTGAGAATGCCCCCCAGATTTCTGATCCTCCATGCACTCTACCCACTGAGCTATCTCTACATCTCCTTGTTTGGAAGTAACCAACAGGACAAGAGTTCCTAAAGCATCTATGTGAATTTTCATAGAGATCTGTTTCTCAATCATCTCCTCTCTTTCCAAATCCAGAACTGGATCATAATTTTGTGTGCGGAGACCGATTCTGCACTGTTTTCCAGCAACATGTACTCCCTGTGGATGGCAATGGGTCTACCCTCCCCTCACCATGAATTCTCGCCACCGCTTCTGAAGTACAGTTAGGACAATGACACATCTACCTCCTTCGCTGGAGAAGCAGAGTCCTCTCTGTGTATTCACTCTGTATATTAACTGTGTGCATGTTTGTGGCAGTGGGCAGGGCTGACTTCCTTAGACAGGGCCTCGGAACTCACCATGTAGATCAGGGTGGTGAGGAACTCACAGAGATCCACCTGCCTCTGACTCCGAGTGCTGGCATAAAAGGTAGGCGCCACCGTGCCTGACCCAGCTTGTGATTTTAATAGGCAGCTTGAAATCTCCTCATGTAGCAAATCATGTGGATTCCAGTATTGCTCTTCCGCCTTCTTCACTGAGGCAGGGTCTTTTAATCAAACCCTAATCTTTTCAGCCAGCTTGCTCTGTGGATCCCTTCTCCACCTACTGAGTCGGAGTTGGGCTGTCACACTCAGCATTTGCAGGAAGTCTGGGGCTCTAAACTCCAGTCCTCACACTTGCTTGGCAATTCTTCAACCATTGAGCCATCTCCCCAGGCCCCTACTTTATCCTTGAGACAGAGTCATGCCAGGTAGCCCTGGTTGACCTGGAACTCAGGCTAGCATGGCAACTCTTTACCAGCGGAGACAGCTCCCCAGCCCGCCTCTGTTCAGATTCCTTACTCTCTTCCAGCCGCCACTCAGGTTTCCTATGTCGAAACCTGTCATCTTATCATAAAGGTCACACCCCCAGGACTCTCCAAGCCTGTGATCTTTAAACCCGAATTCAGACTCCAGAGCCAGTGTTGTGTAATCGCCACTGCATGTGGCCGAGTCCACAGCATGGCACCACCGAGGGCTTCAGTGGGTGGCTTCCTGATAACCCTTCCCCACTCACCTCACCTCCCACTCATGTCATTGCCTTCTGGTTATGCACTCTGCTGAGAGGACTGAAGCGGGGAAGGCCGCCCTTCTGGGGTGGGAACCAGTTCTTGGGTGAGGCCCAGGCTAGAGCCTGGTTTGCTCCTCGGCCTGCCTCCAGCTCCCTGCACACACCCCCGAGGCTGCTGGCCACACTTCAGACGGAGCCTCTGTGAGGGAAGAAAGCAGATAAAGCAGAGGAATGATAAGGAGGCTATAAATTCTGAATGAGAGCTCTCTGCCATTCCCCATGACACGTGTTTTCAAATATGTGCATGGAGCAGGCAGACCAGTTTTCTTTCCCTTCAAGAAATGTTGAGGGGTTGTGCAGTCACGATGACATCTCCACATGCTAGGTTTGGTGTCAGAACTGTAGGGAGGCTGGTGAAATGGATTAGTAGGGAAAAGTGCTCTCACATGGGGAGAGAAAATGGACTCCTGCAATTTGTTCTCTAACTTTCACTCATTGTGGCACACACACACACACACACACACACACACACACACACACACACAGAGCAACAACTGTAATTTTTTTTAAAGCTGTCAGGAGCAGGTGATTGGTGTGTGCATAAGCATGAGTTGGTTCTGGAACCCTCAGTCTGGCCAGTGGCACTACATACGAATTCGAGAACAGAGAAAACCATGGGTGAGAAAGGAAGGCGGTGTTATCAGCTCTTACTACCACTCCCAGGTGGACAGCCTTTCGCTGCCACTAAAAAAGTGGTTCTCGACCTGTGGGTTGTGACCCCTTTTGGGGGGGTTCAAATGACCCTTTCACAGGGGCTAAATACCAGATATCCTGCATATCAGCTATTTACAATTAATAACAGTAGCAAAACTGCAGTTATGAAGTAACAACAAAAAGAGTTTTATGGCGAATTATATCAAAGAGTGTCAGCATTAGGAAGGTTGAGAACCACAGCTATAAAGGGTAACACTGTGGGGGCTGGAGAGATGGCTCAGCTAGCAACCTTGCAGAATGAGGACCTGAGCTCTGTTGCCTGCAGCCCTGTAGTTACCCCATGACTGTGACCCCGACACTCAGGAGGAAGAGGTCCCTGGGGATCCTTGGCCAGCCAGCCTCCCCTACTTAAGAAACTCCAAACCAGTGAGAGGAACTGTCTTTTGATAAAACAGAATAAACAAACAAAATAGGCTCCGTGGGTAAAGTTCTTGCTGTGTACCTTCCTAACAGTAAAAGCCGGGTGCCTTGGAGGCAGTGAATGTTGGTAATATGAACAGTGGGATCCAGATGATCAGGTAGATCCCTGAGGCTTCCTGACCAGCCAGCCTCGCCTTCAAAGAGAGGTGGGGGGAGGGGGGAGTGGCACCCAAGGATTGATACTCAAGGTTCTTCTCCACACACACCTACCACACGTGTATGCACATTTACATACACACAGAATAACAGTGTGAGAGCAATGAGAAAGGACGATTCCAAGGATGGCTGTGTGACAGCTAGATGATGTCACCAATATGGTAGAAAAAGAAAGGGAACATTGCATGTGTGCGTGTGCGAGAGAGAAAGAGACAGGCCCGTGGCTAAGCTGTGCCCTCTCTGTCCTCCTGCAGGCGTCAGCAGAAACCAGCGGTGTAAGGAAGGCTGTTCCTGCTCCTCCTGCTCCCCCAGGGTTCCCACCATCAGCGACTTGCTCAATGATCAGGACTTGCTAGATGTGATCAGGATAAAGCTGGATCCCTGTCACCCAACCGTGAAGAACTGGAGGAATTTCGCCAGCAAATGGGGCATGCCCTACGACGAACTGTGCTTCCTGGAACAGAGGCCCCAGAGCCCCACGCTGGAGTTCTTATTCCGAAACAGCCAGAGGACTGTGGGCCAACTGATGGAGCTCTGCCGGCTTTACCACAGGGCTGACGTGGAGAAGATCCTGCGCAGGTGGGTGGACGAGGAGTGGCCCCACCGGGGACCCTCGGACAGTTCCATGCCCTTCTAGCATCCCCTTCCATCACGGGCCTTTCTGCTTGCTGGACCAGCATGAGTCACTTGGGAAGATGTGCCTTTTCAGACGAGGATGTGGAATGGGCAGCGGTTGTCCCTGAGGCTGGTGGCTTGTGGAAGGATGGGTTCTATTTCGGTGACAGGTTTTTCCTTTTTTGCACATCTGTTTTAATTTAATATTTGAACCTGGAGTTGGGGGAGGATATTTTGTAGGTCACAAAGGGCCAAAGCCTATGTTTGGGACCAGAATCATGCCAAGGTGGAAAGAAAATGACCCTCTCCTTAAATACTGTCGAGGACTGCAGTGGGATCCCAAACTGTCAATGGCTCTGGGTGCGGCCACGTTATACGATGCAGAACCTCTGCATTCCCAGCCAAGCAGAAGATGGCGTGGAAAAAGATACTGTATGATGTGGCCCGGGTTCAAGGGTCATCCCTTTTATTCAAACACTTTTGTCAACTGTGGGCTATCATTGGACTTAGTATTTTTAAAAGAAATACAAAGTGTATGGTTTGTAGGAGAGCAGAGCGGGTTAGTGTCATGGGAATGGTATTGACCATAGTATTCAATATGCCCTGGGGAGATGGCTAAGTGGTTAGAGTGCTCACCATACAAGCATGACGGCCACATAGATGAGGGGATGATGTGGCAGCCGCCTGTAATGCCAGCATTCAGAAGCTACACTAAAGCCTCAGGCTGGACTCTGGTTTGGGACCCAGCAGCTGAAATGATGGCTTTCAACTCTCTTCTGTGGGACAAAACAAAGAACAGAAACAAACAAAAATCAATTCTTAATGGTTTTTAAACCAGGAACTAAGATAAAAAATCTCCCCATAGAAACCACCACAATTCATTCATGGGGATTAGGGTATAACAATAGGGTTTCATATAGCCCAGATTCTTCTCAAACTTGACATATACCTGAGGCTGGTCTTGAACTTAGGATCCTCCTGAATTCATCTCCTGAATATTGGGGTTGCAGGGATGTGCTACCATGGCCACCCAAACTTGAATCCCATATACCACAATCTTCCAGAATGAATACTTTCCATACCTGGCCTGGGGCAGCCGATTCTGAGGAAATGTTTCCAGCAATTCAGCCTTCAAGCTGAACCTGTCATGATGCATCTCTAGAACACGGCTCTGGTTGTTAGGCGTCCCCTGAACTTGCCTTTCTAGGCAAGTTCAAAACTAGATCAAAACTGTCAAGCAGGGCTGGAGAGGTGGCTCAGCATTTAAGAGCACTTGCTGCTCTTCCAGAGGATGGGTTAGGGTCTCAGCTACCCACATGGAATGGCTCAGGACTGCCTGTAATACTAGCTCCTGGGGATCTGACACCCTCTTCTAGCCTCCAGCGATACCCATGAACACATGGAAAACACTCACACAAACACACACAAGTGAACCTCTGAGAGGCAATATCAAGCTAGGGCTGAGAATGTAGCTCCGTTGGTAGAGAGCTTGCCTAGCATGCCAGAAGCCCTGGGTTTGATCCCTAGCTTGGCATAAACTGGTGTGGCGGAACATGCCTGCAGTTCCAGCCCTTGGGAGTGAAAGCAGAGGATCAGAAAGTTCAAAGTTGCCCTCAGCTACAAAGTGAGTTTGAGGCCAGCCTTCGATATATGAGACCCTGCTTCAGAAACAAAAATGCCATGCAAGCCATGTGTGCTGGTGCGTGACCGTCACCCCAGCATTTTCCTCGTGAGGCTTGTTGGGAGCATGGCATCAGCGGACAGAAATGTGCTGGAAGGTTTCTTCAAGTTCACTCCGACTCTAAACGTAAAACAACTTTGATCTGTGTTGCATAAACAAAGCCACGTAGGAGTCTTGGCTGCAGTACAAATCAGCTTGCTGGAAGTTAACTTTATAACCAGTAAGTTCTACGGAGGCATGCGGACCCTGGCCCTTCACGGGGCAGAGAGCAGTGAGCAAGGAGGTCACCTGGCCACCAGTATCTGTTTTTATCATTTTGAGTTGTGTGTCTACGTGTGAGTGTGTGCACATGAGCGTAGGCCTTTGTGGGGACCAGTGGCATGAGGTCCCCTGGAGCTGTCATTACAGGTGGTTGTGAGTTGCCGGACATGGGAGTCGGGAACTGAACTCACGTCCTCTATGAGAATAGTATGAGCTCTTAACTAATGAGCCATTTCTCCATCCCATCGTCATTGACCCTTGAGGACTTTCCATTCCTGAGAACCTGTGAGCACGATACAAGCTGCTTGGGATGAGGTTGCTTTCCTATTCCAATGATGAAATCTCCCCAGCTATGTTTCCCAAAATATTTTTCTTTAAGCAAAATTTCCATCGGTAATGTTCTGGTGCTGAGGCCGAACAGCATACATTTTATTTGGTTGCACTCGTGAATAGTCAGATGAAAGGGGAGGACTCAAAGCCACACTGGACAGCTGTATGCAGAGGGACAGACACATACTCTTGGGGACCCACACCAGAGGAGCAGACCAAAACGTGGGATGCACTGTTAGCGCGGCGATGTTTTAAGCTGTGCTAGGATGTACGGTCTGTGCCTCTAAAAGACCGTGTACAAAGCAGCCACTTAATTCTGTAGCCGTGAATATTAATTCTTCAGTAACACAGGAACTCCAGCCCTAGACGGAAAACAGTGTGGTTCATGCTGTGCAGTAATGTTTATGCAGTGCTGCCCCCTGCTGGAGGATATACTCTAAGTCAGTTTCCTTTCAGAGACTGGCTCGGGTAGGTATCTTCCAGGCTGCACCACCAAGGCGAAGACAAAAGGGTATGACTGCTCCGTCCACTGATGGACACAAACACTATAAAGGGGGCCTGGCTGAGATGGAGCCTCTTTGTCTCCAGGATGTGCCCCGCGCAGTGGCTGCAGACAAGTCTCATGGTCTGGTACTCATCCGTCAGCACGAATGGGCTTTTCTCCTCAGGGACCAAGGGTACTGCTGTCTGCTTGCGTCTCTCGCTCTCCCAGTTTAACACCTAAGGATGCCAGGATGCAGTGGTCTTGCCCTCCCCTGTCTCCAACCATCTACTTTACAAAGAGATGTACTTTTAAAGACAAGATTAATAACAGAGACCAAACAGATTTTTCTCTTCCATTTTTCTGCTTTTTAGGCAGTTAAACAGATCTCCTTGGGTTTTGAGTGAAGACTTCCCTCCATGTCTTTTTAAGTTTTAACTACTCCTGCTACCCCTGATTTACAATTTTCCTCCCATTTGAAGCCATGGTGTTTCTGTCTATGCCACTTGTTCAGAGCCGGTCATATGAGTATGCATGTCTCAAATCACTCCTTTTCCACTGGCCAACAATATCCCCCCACCTCTGAGCTGGCAGCAAACATCTGCTTCACATTCTCACGTAAACATACAGAAACAACAATGCCACAGGCCTAGCAATGCCAAACCACTCTCTACTCTGGGTCCTCTAAAACCAAAGACCAATAATATCAATCCTTGTAACTGAAAGGCACTCACCTAGTTCTGCCCAGGCAGCGACTGAGAAACTTTTGCTGTCTCATTGCCTGCCTGGGACACAGATCCCACCCCTGACTCTTGGGTACTTGGTTATGAGTGCACAAGGAAGGGTGAGTCTTGCCTTTGTTGTCTTTAGAGAGAATAAAAGCCAAGATGCTGGGCCAAGTGCTGGGGCTACTGGAGTCTCAGCACTGGCGGATGGAACGCCTGTGGGTACGCCGGACCCAGACTTGAAGGGCTTTGGTGGGTCAGGTCCTGTGGCTGCGGAGGAGTATGGCTCTGGGAGTTACGTCTGGCAGGGAATTCCCGGATGATCAGGTGTACTAAAGGGACTGAAGTGGTCAGTGATGCAACTGGAAATGCAATGAGGAAGTCGCCCCGCTCTCTTGAAGCCCCTCATTTACTTCCTGGGTGCTCTGTGCTCTTCCATTTTGTGTGAGAGTCCAGGGTCCGCTGTCCTCTGCAGCACGCCCTTGGGAACATATGCAGGCCATTCCAACCTGAAAAAGGCAAAGCTTCTGAAATCCCTGCATCCCCGCGATGCCGTCCACATACCTTGGTGCTGTTCTTTGGCTCTGTCTACATCTTCATCTTCTGTATGATTCTGTTTTTCTTAAGAACAAGGAAATGTTTTTATAACTGTAATAATGGGTGCTACAAAATTAAAGATTGATGTCAACTGCTATTCCAGTGCCTCATTTTTTAAACGTGTATGTGTTTCTGGGAAGGGGTGTTTTGCCTGTATGTACATGCATGTAGAGACCGGAAGACAACTTTGGGTGTTAGCCTCACAAACACACACCATTCACCTTCTTTAAGACAGGGTCTCACATTGGCCTGGAGCTCATGGATTTAGGCCAGGTGAGATGGCCAATGAGCCCAGTAGATTTTCTTGTCACTGCCTCCCCAGCGTGGGAATAACAGGTGTATGCCACCACGCCCAGCATTTTTACACTGGTTATGGAGATCAAGCTCAGATCTCCATGCTTGAACAAAAAGCACTTTGCTGACTGAGACATTTCCTACTAACTACTTCGTGTAGATTCCAGTGTGGTCATCAGCTCACATGTCTTGTTAGCCCATCATCCCTCATTTGAGCACTTGATGGTTTTCTGAAATGAGTCCCAGATGCTGGAGATGCTGAGATGAAGTGCACCGCTGTACAGAGACAGAGTCACTGAGGGTGAGGACCAACAGGACTAGGGAATGTGGGCAAAGGTGGTCCAGGCATAGGCCCAAGATGCATTGAGCAGGAGGAAAGATGAGCAGTTAGCCTTTCAAGAGGATGTCCAGTGTACTGTGTCTGTATGTGAAGGCTCATCTTACTATGACTGCCTGCCTCTTTCGACTCAGTCCAACCTCTAAACTGTTAGAGATCCATGGGCTTACTGCCTCTGATTGCAGCCTCATCAACACCCCTGTCCCATGATTCATTCTCACAGTTTTGTGTCCCACCAGAGTTCTCCATATCCTTCATCCACCAGCAGCTCAGAATCCTTAAGACTCTTCTCTTCCTGGTCTATTTCCCTTTGGGTTGTTTTGGGTTTTGTTTTTGATACAGGGTCTCACTGTGTAGTCCTGGCTGCTCTCCAAAGCAATACTTCAACCCTTGCCATCTGAACCAATGATTGTGTGTGTGTGTGTGTGAGAGAGAGAGAGAGAGAGAGAGAGAGAGAGCACAGACACACACACATGGGTACACATGATGTGGGCTATGCATGCATGTGGAAGCTAGAGGTCAATCTCCAGTTTTCCAGCATCATTCCTCTGGTGCCCAGGGTTTCTCTCTGGCCTGGATCTCAGGTGTTAGACTGAGCTGGCTGTTAGCAAGCCACACACACACACACCTGTGTCTGCCTAGTAATCACTGGGATTACACCTGGATCTCAGGTATTAGACTGAACTGGCTGCCTAGCAAGACACACACACACACACACACACACACACACACACACACACACACACA